TCCATCCATCCATCCTCTATCCATCCTCTATCCATCCATCCATCCATCATCCACCCATCATCCATCCACCCATCCATCCATCCTCCATCCATCCATCCACCCATCATCCATCCACCCATCCATCCATCCTCCATCCATCCATCATCCATCCACCCACCATCCACCCATTTTACACCCTCCCTCCCTTCCTCCTTTTTCTCCTTCCTTCCATTACACATTCATCTACATCTTTAATCTATTGCAAAGTTTATTGCTCACTCTTGTTCCCCCTCCTCTTCATCTTTTATTATGAGGACTCTCTCCTGGTTCACTGGTGGTTTGGTTAAAGCCCTTTGTCAGGCTAGTTATGTGGGTGACATTTTCCCTTCATTTCTTTTTTCTCTGTCACCTTCTCAGAAAATTCTTTTCTGACCACCCACCCTCACCCTCAGTCCTCCCGGCTTTACTCTTCTTCAGGCACTCGGCACTACCTGGTGTTTATTCTATGTTTATTATTTATTTGCTTATTTTTCTGACTTCCCCACTAGAATGTTAAACTCACCAAGGGCAGATACTTTATTTTATTGACAATTTTCTATCCCAAGTGCCTGGACCGTAGCTGGAGCTCAACAAATATCTGTCAAACAATTATATTTGGCGTCTCCTCACCCATCTTTCTGACTTTTGTCCTGACAACGGGGGGACATCCTGGCTGGGAACAGGGTTATTGAGATGCAGCCCTTTCCTTGTGGTTCATCTTAGCTTCTTTTCCACTGGCTTCCAGATTCCCCACGATGCAGATGAGAAGTCTGGTACTAGCTCATTCCTCTATATTTTGTGCACACCTCAATTTATGCAATGTTATACATGAATATTTTTGTCTCTCCAGCAATCTTATTTGTTTACCTTTGAGCCCCTGGCAAAATGCCTCATGGATAGTAGGATTCCCCAAATATTTGCTGTATAAATAAATGGATGGGAGGACGGATGAAAGAAGGAAGGAAGGACTCCAAGAGTGTGAGAAGACATACAATGTATTCATCACAACTCTTGAAACGTGAATGAGAGAGATGTTCCTAGAGATGCTGTTCTTCTCAAGGCGGGGGTCCCAGACCCACAGCATCACCTCGACCTGGGAACTTGTCAGAGGTGCAAATTTGGGGGCCCCACCCCAGACCTACTGAATTAGAAACTCGGTGGGTGGGGCCCAGCTCTCTAGGTTTTAACAAGCCCTCCAGGTGATTCTGATGCAGGCTCAAGTTTGAGAACCACTGCTGGAGACCCATCCCATTTTATAGATGAGAAAACTGAGGCTCGGAGCAGGGGAGTAACCTGCCTGAACTCACACCTTCCATCAGTGGCACAGGCAGGTCCCCATAGTTACAGCTGTGGTCTTGCCAACCCCACCAGGCTGCCTCAACGCATCTGGTTACTTCTCTTTGTCATCAAAATGAACCACGCATTTGTCAAACCATTTCAAAGCACGGGGATTGAATCTCCATTCTTACAAGCATTCTTATTTCACTGGGGGTTTTCCAGGATGTAAAAAAAAAGTGACTTAGAGTTGTTTCTATAAGACGTTGAGCAATGGAAAGGAGCCAGGCGATTGCATTACTCACCGCAGGCTTCTTAGGCGGGGGCTGTAAGGTTATAGCTCCCCGTCAGGCTCAGGGCCTTCTCTGGGGCCATGACGCATCCCACACACGAGCTGGTTTCCTCGCGTTCCTGGGAGAGGGTGTGTGGGTGGTGGTGCCTGTTGATCCAGGAGCGGAATTAGGGACTTTGATGTTGATCAAGTCCCCATGATCAATGCGTTTTTCTGGCTGATTTCTTCATTTGGTTACAAGTTTCTTTTTAATGTATTTTGTGTATTCCTTCCCAGTCTTATTTGCATGCCTGTTTTTAGTTTGTTTTCATATTTTTTGTCAACCGTGCTGGATATACTGTCAAAGAATGTTCCTTTTCTTCACTTCACCCAGCACCGCCCTTTCCATGGCTGCTATAGACCCCGCCCTATAGTTAAAAAAAATTGAACTTTCTATTTTACAGAAGAGATGCAAAGATAGGACAGAAAGTTCCTGGACACCTGTATACTCCTGACTTTTATTCTTTAGAGAGCAGGATTTTAGGATAAGAGAACTGAGATTTTTGAACAGAGCAGTGACACTCCTAGGTTGATCATTTTGGGTGGAAATCTTCTAGATGTCTGCTGCTGCTTTGGCAACTTTGTGGAATGTGTATCTCTTGTCAGACTCTGGGATATGCACAGGGAAGGTACAATGAAAAATAGGACGCGGTTTTACCTTCCAGATTCAGCTCACCAAGCCAATAGTACAATTTGTTTTGTATATATTTAAAAATTTTTAAGTTGTGATAAAATATACAGATCAGACAACTTCCCAACATAGTCATTTACTTGTATGGTTCAGTAGGGTTAAGTGCATTCATATTGTGAGTTAATTACAATTAGTCTCCAGCACTTTTCCATCTTGTAAAATAGAAAGTCTGTATTATTAAATAACTTCCCGTTTCTCCCTCACCCTAGCCCTCCGCAACCACCATTTTACTTTTTTGTCCCTATGAATTTAACTACTCTAAGGAATCTCATTTGATGGAATCACACAGCCTTTGTCTTCTTGGGACTGGCTTGCTTCACTTGGCATGATGTCCTCCAAGTTCCTCCACGTTGTAGCGCGTGTCTTGTTTTTAAAAGCTGAATTATAGTCCATTGTATGGATACACCACCCTTTGTTTATCCATTTGTCCATCGATGGACACTAGGATTGCTTCCACCTTTTGGCTATTGGGAATAATGCTGCCATGAATGCGGGTGCACAGATAGCCCTTTGTGTCCCCGCTTTTGA